AAACTGTCTTTATCTCAACCTATGAATTTTACTTTTTTTTTCAATTCTCTCCCCCATCCCACTGGGGAGGAGGGGGAGTGAGCAAACGGCTGTGTCATGTCTAGCAGCCTGCCAGGTTAAACCACAACAAACGCTCAATATTACCACTCTGGGAGTCTGTATGTCCTGTTAAGCACCTTGAAAAGGACATGCTTTAGGAAAGTCTCAGGTGTAGCAAGTAAATCATCACTACAGTTGTCACTTCAGCTCATCATGAACATTTAGATCCACATCCTAAGAATAAAATATTCTATAGCTTTGACTTTTCTACAGTTTCTGTTAAAATCTTGAGTCACTGTCTTCTCCTCACCTACACCTTCTGTGTTCAACATACACAAAAGTGTATGAAAGTTTCTACTTTTGTGTAAGAAAAAAGAATCCCACAGCATATCTTTTTAATAACTGTTCAGCTACAAAATTTTATTGGTATCCTTCTATGTTCCCTCTAGAGGATGTAATGCACAAAAGCATTGCCACGGAACATATAAAATTACAAATGAAATTTATTGTAAAAAGTAGAATGTCTTCTAGACTGGTGTCAGTATTTATTTCATTCATAAACCAAAGCTGCAGGTATAATATATTCATTGTCAGCAAGTTCATGTGTGTAAATTGCCATCCAACAGTATTGACTGATATAAGACAGATACTGAAAAGACAATTCAAATTTACTCTTCCAAACATAAACTGTTCCACAAAAGCACTGTAAAAACTCCTTCAAGGTTTTGTGTTGTGCTTCACATTTATGGTTAACTACATAATTTGGTTGTGTCATAATCCACTGTGTTTGGCAATTTGGCATTAAAGGCCTGCAAAGCAGATTGAATCCTCACCACTTCACTGGTAGACAGTTTGAGTCTATGACGGAGCAAGCAAGAGAAGAGGTCTAGACGACGTTGACCAGGTGGAGAGAGTTTATTTACACGATCCCGTATCTCTAACAACTGCAAAAGTGCTGAGTCCTGTGATCCCTGAGTATAGGGGTAGTCCAGCTGCAAAATCAAGTCTCGAATTGCTTCAGGGTCAAAGTGCATGCTGTAGCCAAACACTTGGATGTTATTGATTTTCATGTAGCCCAGATTTCTTGAGGGATCAATAAATTCCAGCGGTTCATAGTAGATGCTCTCATTGCCATTTGGACCGTTTGACTTTATTCGACTCCTCAAATAGATGTGTACAGTTTCAAAAAATGTCTTCCACTTGTTGCCCAGAGTCAGCGTCCAGTTATAACACTGAAGGGGTAAGTCCAGTTTAGTCCTCTCCCAGTCTGGGAAGTTATTTTCATTCACAGGCATAAACCAGCTCTCAGAGTGGCTGCCCCCAAAAGGATTGACATAAACAGCAAGAACGGGCTCTAAGGTGCTGTTTTTAGTTAGGCAAATTTGAAGAGAGAGGCCCAGTATCATATGGACCAGACTAGACTTGTACTTGTTACTCTTAAGAGTGAGGAGCATCCGTTTGCGCCAAGAAGGATCAAACCAGCTGTTGAGGCGCATATCATTGCTGATGAAAATGGCATGGACTTCAATTCTCCGGTCTGTCTTCTGCAATAAATACTTCATTTCCAGGTCCTGAAGGTCAGTCTCGAACCCAATGTAGTGCTCTGTTGATTCTGCCACTTCAGGCTTGCAAAGCCCTTGGCTCAGCATGTAGCCTGCATTGCAGGTCCCACAGCGGGTGCGATTGTCAGGAGCACAGCTCAAGCATGCAGAGCCATCTCCAACTGTGCAGGGAAGGAACCCATGGCAGGCAACCTGGTCATTAGGGCAGGTGCATGTGTGAGTATCTTCAGAAAAGCTTCCCAGGAGGCCATTTTCATTGCAGTAGAGAAAGGACTGGATGCGGTTGAGCCAATAGTTGGAAGATCTGCAACATTAAAATAATTTATTTTAACACAAACAGAGACCTGCACATAATAAATACAACCTTGTTATTTTTTATTAGAAAGAGAAAAATAAAGCTGGTTTTAGTAGCAGATTAAGGCACTTAAGTCAGATGACAGCATCTGCTGCCAGATAAATACATGTGTAAGTTGCCTTTTAACAATGCAAAATCACAAAAGAAAAGTTTCCTTATAAACTCACAAGGCACAACAAGAACATTTGATTCATGTATTTGTTCTCTCTGTATCTCTGTCAATGAAGCCTGACAAAGAGCCATTTTTCTATTCTTGTCTTCAGATTAACAACTTGAAATTCTATGCAGTTGAGATTATTTTTCCTCTTACTATTTGATCAGGGAGGTGTTTTGTATGTATCTAAGTGTATATAAGTCTGTACCATCTCTCTATTTCATTGTGAAGATTTATGTAACCTTGCAAGCTGTCTTGTTACTGGCTGGAGCTGCTTTGGTTTATAGACAGTGAGCAAAAAAGCTTTCCTTGAGTAGCAAATAGGACTCTGCACCCCACTAAATTAGATTCAATCTTAATTTTTCAGATGACTTCCAGCACAAAAATATCCCTCAAGGAAGCTATGCATGAGCATGCTGTGTTTAGTTTTCATCTTTGGAGATGAAATTAAAAGATCACTTTAATGTTCTTGTCATCTCATTTTGGTTTCACTAGAAGCAATGGTTAATGTCCTGCATCACACTGGGAAAACACAATACTGAAACCAACAGTGTTAGGTTGATGAGGCACAGTCGCTAGAAGACAGACAATGGAAACAACAGAGTTGCATGGAAATAGTCAAGAGAAAAATTATCTTCTTTCTTTGTCTGTATTTTTCAGTTCTTATTAATCCTAGGAATGCTCAGTTTAAAGAACTTGTTTTGGCTGCTGCAGAGTCAGATCTATTATTGCCACATGAATGGCAATGGTTGTACTGTTTCTTCCCTTTTCATTGCATTGTTTCAAACAGAAAAAGCAAGAGCCTCATTTACTGCTGACTTTTAAAGTCACATCTGAATTTGTCTCAAGCATTAGATAGTTCAGAAATCTTTTTTTTGTTGGGTTTTTTCTGACTATAAAATAAATGCTGAAACTAAAAATCTATGGCATCTCAAAGTCTGATTCTTTAGAAACATGAAAATAAAGATCAGTAAAATGACATCATTGTATACTCTGGTGACTTTGTTTAATCTTTTCTTTTTCCTTTCTCTTTTTTTGGTTGGGGGCGGGAATTTTGGTTGTTTTGGGTTGTTTTTTTAATATACATACAGTCTATTAGTATTTTCTAGAAGTATAAGTAAATGTAATAACATCCATGACATGAATGCCTTAACACCATTCTTCTTTGTGCTTATTTGAAAGTCAGCATTAAGCAAAAATATTTTTGGCAAGTTTATTCCTTCATCTCCTGATTAAAAATCATAATCTCCATTCTACAAGCAAGGTCAATGTCACAATATAAAAGTTACTCCAAAACTGAGTGAAAAATTAAAGCTGTTGTTCTTCCAGGTGGAATGAGAAGCTCCCATGTACTTTGTCTGGGTTGTTTAGACAGTAGTCTGTACCTACTGAGCTTGCCCTGGCAGCTCACAGAAACGGCAGTTCAGGTGTTATGATCCTGTTTCCCATCATGGGATGAACTTTGCAGCCAGGCTATGTCTCACATGGTCTATCTTATTGCTATTAGCCCCATAATGCATCACAGCAATCCAAACAGGGAAGATCCTTGTCCAAAGGAGTGAAACTAACCTTTCAAAGGTCTATCATTACAGCTTTTTCCTAACTCCTTATGGCTCTCTGTGCTTATTTAAGAACGGATACTGAGTCCCAAAAGCTGCAGGATGTAAGATATAAAAGTCTGGTGTTTTTACTTTCCTTTAGATCTTTGGGTTATGCCATTTGCTTCACAACAACCTTTATAAAGTTGTTACCTTATTTTGATTTGTTACCTTAGACAGATAACTAGGCAGATTTCAAGAATATGTCATTTGGTTTTTAATCTCCAAGTTTTCTGCTTGTACTGTTACTACCAGTTAGTACTACATGACTACTGTATCAAGGTTAAGCACATTCAACAGATGATACTGATCCAGTTTGTAAATATGAATTTTAGCATCCTCTTCCACTTCTCTTTCAAACAGAAGTCCTTGCCTTTGAAAAGTTTTGTTATATATTAGGAGTACATTTCCAGAAAACCTCATTTTGCACAGACGAACTCTGAGCTTACAGCTGTGGTTTTGAATTCATCTCAGTAGAGGATAAACATTTGAAGACTTATTGTAGAGATTTTCTGTGTATCACAGAACATCAGCCGTAGAGACTAAATCTGCTTGGCTCACTCACACAAAACATCAACTGTGCTACATAGTTTGTAGCATCTAAGGATATGTTTCCATGATATATTCTAGTCAGAAGAAAGCTAACTGTGCCTGAGCTCCAAAGCCACAGGGCCACACGACTACATTAGTTTTTCAGCAGAGATTAGTATCTTGGATTTGGCATCATGCTAGTATGGACAAGAAATTTCTGTATGGCTTGGAGGCTAAGAATTTATCCTGGCTTGGAGCTTAGGCACAGTTAGCTTTAAACTAGACACCAGCTATGAATTTTTGGAGCCTAATTTTATATGATTTCTGATACATTTTAATGAGTGAATTTTTGAATGTTGCTTTATTGAGGTGTATTGGGTGTCACTGGCATGGTTTTGACAGCAGAGGGGTAGGCACAGGAGTGCCCTCTGTGAGAAGAGTCCAGGGGCTACCTGATACTGGACACAGCTGATTCCAGACAGTTCCAGCTGTTTCCAGCCAGCTGTTCTTATCTCGACCCACAAGCTTTTTTATCTTTTTTCCTCCTCCCCTCCTGCTAAGGGGCTGGCTGGGTGTGCATCTGGCAGCCAGCCTAGGTTAACCCACCACATAACATAAGCAAGATAATTTGCAGCTTTAAGTTGATCCCTGTTATGTTTCATCTACCCTTTCTTCCTCTTAGATCCAGTGGATAGGATTACAGGGATTTTTTTTAATATTGTATTACTACTTCTTTTTCTGCTTATTATTGGGCATTAAAATAAGTCAAAGAATGTTCTGCACATTTTTTTTTTTTTCATATAGAGGAGTTTCTGGGAAAAGAAACTGTGGATACGTCTGAGCATGGTTAGATGGGACAAATATCCGGAATGCAGGGTGTGCCAGGCAAAGAAAGAAAAGGAAAATGTGGCATTACTGCCAACTGATGAAGAGAAGAGAGCTGGGAAAACAAGGAAGGAATTCTTTCAGTTCATGGAGGTGATGGAAAGAGGGAGACCTGGTGAGGAAGATGGCACTGTTGGAAGTGGACAATTTTTTACTGTTGCAATAAGCCTATTTAAACTAGCAAAATTAATTTACTGGCAGGGATGGTTTGGTTTGGGTTACTCAATTCTCCAGCCACACGGTCTTTAAAACATTTTTTTCCTTATTAGTGATCCAATCTACTGTTTCCATTATTATGAGAAGCAAAATCTTTAATGTTACTTTTTTGTTATTTTTATTTTTAATGAGCCTGCCTTCCTTCTTTATTTGTTAAAGGATAGAAGAAGCAGTCTAAAAGACTGCATGAAATTACATAGCTGCATAATTAAGTTTGCTTTCTAAAACTTAGTTATCAGTTTATAACTTCATATTTAGCTTATTAAAACAACTATATCTTTGATCATTATCAGTTGCAAGGAGACTAAGAACTTTAGAGGGAAGGACGTTTTCTCCTTATTCCAAATAAAGTTCAGAACAATAACCTTCTAATACTTTTTACCTTATTTTAATTTTTTTACATGATTTTAACCAGAGAGATTTCAAGAAGTTCTACTTGTTTGTCCTTGATCAGTTTACAAACATAAATTCTTTTTAAAAGAAAAAAGTCAAATGCCTTACTTGACTGCTTTTTTTTTAAGTTGTCATTAAGGAATACTGGTTTTTAAAGTTGTCATTAAGGAATACTGTTACTCTTTGTAAATTTATTGCTTTCACTCAAGTAAATTAAGTAAATTAAGTGAAAGTACATAAAATGTCAGCAATACCGACTTTATTTAAGCCACTCATCCTTAATTAGATAAATTCACACTGGAATGTCATTCTGAAAGCTTTCTTTTTCTCCTAGAAATAGAAGATCATTTAAAATTCTGGACCCTGCAGTCAAGAAGAAAGGCTTGGTTAGAAGCAGATGCCTCCTGCAGGTCAACACCTGGCCGAACAGCTGGTGCAGTCAGATAGGCAGGGCTTAGGCTTTTACAGCCACTAGATCCTCTTTGAGGATGGATGGCATCTGGGGAGAGATGAGAACTAACAGAAAATAACAGGTGACATCTTAGGCAACAAACTTGCTGACCTCGTGAGAAGGGCTTCAAGCAATGTTAGCTTGGGGCTGGAGTCAAAATGGGAACTAAGGAAAAAAGCATATGGGAAAAACACTCCCACCAGAAAGTGGTACTACTAGGGACCCATCTCAAGTGCCTAGACACAGATGCAAACAGTGTGGGAAACAGGCAGAAGGTGTAGACACAGTTGCAATGCTGTTAGTTCATTGGGATCACACAGATGTGGTGGGATTAGCCTGGGGTGCTTGTGATGGATGAACAAAGACTCTTTAGTGAAAACAGGTAGGCAGGGGCGATAGCTGCACTCCACACAAAGGAGTACTTAGAACTAAAACTTTGCTGCTGAATGAGCAATGAACTGGTCAGGATCTTAAGCATGCTTAAGCTGGAATCAGAGAAGAGACCAGCAATAGGGAGACTGTGGTCAGAATCTGCTACAGACCAGAAGATCAAGAAAAGTGGATGAAGATTTCCTTAACCAACTGGAGGAAGCAACATGACCACATGTCCTGACCTTCATGGGGGACTTCAACAACCCCAGCAGAGATGGTGGTGGTGGTGGGGTAACATGACAGGACACGAACAATCTAGGAGACTATTGAAGTGCATTGAGGATACATT